AATTTTTTGGGTTTTTCGAGTTAAAATGAAAAAAAATGAAAAAGTCTATTTTATAGAAAATAAATTGAGTAAAATCATGTTTAAGTCCCCATAGGTTTAGTGCGTTTTCTCACTTTGGTCACCTGCGAGGACCAAAAATCGTTATTTACCCTTTTTCATGCATGTTATATATTTATTGGAATATTAGTTGTTTAGTCACCCATAGTTTAGCACATTTTTACATTTTGGTTACCTAAAAGGACCAAACTTGTTATTTACCCTTTTTTCATGCATGTTGTATATTATTAGTATATTTTCTTTTTCGTCCTACTAATTTAAGCATGTTTTTGCAATCTAGTCATCTGTAGTGATTATTTAATTTTATGTTAATTTTGTTGAACTAATTTTGTAATTTTCGCTTTTGTATCTAATAGTGTATTTTAGGCTTGTAAAAAAATGACTAAACATTATTTAGTCCCTACAATTTTTGCACATGTTACAGTTTGGTCACCTTTACTTATTTGTTTTTGTTTACTTTAATTTCCAGCATGTAATTTCAAATATGTTCATTTTGGTCCTAAATATATGGTTTATTACCTTTCTAGTGCTTGTAATGTATGATTCTTGTATTATATGTTCTGTTATTTGTTCAATTTGTTGTTGTGACATTAAAATTTACAGTTTTATTATTTAGTCATATACTTGTATAATACGAATTGTATGTGTTGTGAATCTTGTCCATGTATAAAATATATATTGATATCATGAAACATAAATATTCATGTAATTTGTGGCATATAGGTTTAAGATTTCATTTGAATTAATTTGCATGGTACCCTCACAAGCATTTCTTGATTCGATCAAAATAATTTAGCTAAAGGATTATTCGTTTATTTTTAGATTAAGGGAAGTGATTGTCTTTAAAGAATAAGAGGTCACTTTCAATATTCTTAAAATAAAAGGGTATCCTACCAAGTGAAACTAATAAAATTGATTACATTAAAATTTGGGATTGAGAAAAATATTATGTTTTTTAATTAAATTCACAGAGAAAATATTATTAGATCGGATGAAATAGTAATATTTCTTTATTTCGATTGGAATAATAGATGACTGCTTAAAGGCATGAGAGGTCATTTCTTCTCGATTGTAAATAATTAAATATTATTGTTTTCCCTCTTAAAATTCAAAGATTATGTTTTAAAAAGAAAATCTTAAATTTAATTTTCTTTATTTTATTGTTATTTATGCACTTGAATTTTGAATTAATAATGAACTTTAGAATGGAATTGTAATAATTCTTTATTTCAATTGGAGTAGAATTGACTGCTTTAAGGCATGAGAGTCGATTCTTCTCGATAGAAAATAATTAAATATTATTTTTCGTCTTAAAATTCAAAGAATAATATTTGTATGATATCTTAAATTAAATTAAACTCGAATTTTTAAATTTCATTTCAAAGACAACTAATTAATCGACTAGGTATCGATTTAGGGTGTTGTGGAGGTGTTAATCCTTCCCCTACGCGTAACTGACTCTCGAACTCAAATTTTTGGTAACACATATCATAAATTTGTTGTTTTAATTAAAAATAATATTTTTATTAAAATGACAAATATGTTTTTGGGTTCTCAATCTCACCCTAATTAAAGATTGTGGGAGACTCCTCGAACCATATTTATTTTTTAAAAGATTACCAAATTATTCGAGACGAAATATTTAAAAATCCATTTTAAAAATTAAATTTGTTTTTTTAGAAAACATCATTTCATCAACAACATTAGGTTAACTTAATGTAGGAACTGAATTTCCTTCATATCTTGCTGATTGACTTCCCTCAGTTGGTAGCTGTGGAGAGTTAAAAGTAGGAGATGTGAATGAAATGGAATTCTCACCCAAATTAGATATTTCATGTACAAATAATGATAAATACATCAATTAATATATTAGCAAACAAATAAAAACTATGTTGGACATTCATTTCTCCTAAACTTAAATCAAAAGTTGTAACTAATGTATACAAAAAATGATCAAAAATGGTAATTAATAGTCACAATAACTTAACTACTTAAGTGATGCTAAATTGCAAATGTTAATCATATCTTAGTAAACAAATTAAAACTGTATTGGTCAATTCTCCTAAACTTCAATTTTTTAAATGAAAAAGGTGATAATCATTGACTTGTCATACTTACAGAGAAATTAAACTTCACTCAATTTACAAAGCAATTCGGTATTTACAATCACATGAAGTTTAACTTGTTAAGGGAGTTTAAGTGTTGAACTTATTAATTTTTTTTAGCCTACTGTTTAGACAACTCTCTTTCTCTCGCAAGAGTATTTTTCTGGAATTGTAATGCTTAAAACTCATATACATTGGGAACGGAAATGCACAAATAGTATAATTAAGTACTTACTGTTTTATAATCTTTACTCTTTGATTAGTTTGGTAGAACCAATTAGTTAGTTTAAGAACAAAAGTTACAATAGGCTAATCGATGACTTCATGCTTTTAAACTTTAATTAGTAAACTAAACAAGTATTATAATATTAAATTAAAAGAAAAGCACGAAAATAAGATGAAAAATTGTTCTCCGAAATCTATAGTGGTTTATATGTTTGATAAATAGCTTATTTTTACATATAAAAAATCAACAAAGCCAAAAATCATGTAAGATACTTACCTTACTAAAAATTGAATTTCTTCTACTTTTAAGTTTTGATTGGCTTGTTGTCGGTTACTGGGTATTGACTCTAGAAGAAGAACCGATGAAAGTGTGAAAAATGATTGAGGTTTTTTTATGGTTGAGAATGAATTAAAATAGTAAAATTTAATCTTGAACAGGAAATGGGTAATAATTTGTGAGAAAGGAATTAGGTAAGAGTTTCGGATTGTTTGCACATACAATCCTGGATCGAGTAGATAAAATTACAAAGGGAAACTAAAAAATTATAAAAATAAATAAAATATTACATTAAGTACTCGGGTCGGTAGGATATTTTTAACTCTAAACCCGACTGGGACCCAAAACCGAATATTTTAATTTAAAACCCGACCCGAATCTATTTTTTTTATAAAAAAACTCGACCAGATCGAATCGGGTCGGATCGGATCGGAACCCGTCAGGTTTAGGTCTCATGCCCATCCCTATACATGGTCCAATGTATCAATACCTAGACCAAGTTATCAATAGAAAGAGACCTCCCAGACTCTATAAATACCTTCCTAAATAGTAAAGTTCGACATTTCACAACCCTCAACTCTCTAAATCGCCGTTCATAATCTTTTTATTTTTTAAAAAAAAAACTAATTTTATTATTCCTTTAAGTGTCAACTCTAAAAAAAAAGACAAAAAATAGAGTTCTTTGAGCCTACTAATAGGTTTTTAATGTTCTTTTACATAGCATATCAATATTATATTGATCCACAATCGTTTGGAGGCGAGAATAAGGGATTTACGTTCATTATTCTCAATATAAACTCCTCATTTTTGGTAAGCAAGTTTAGATATCGATATCATTATGTAATTTTTGGACGATTTGATTGATTGATTTCTTTTTATTGTATGGCATGTTTTAGGGTTATGGATTTAAAAAAAATTTTGATAACTTTTATATGAGAGTATTATTTTAATATTAATGTAATGAACCTCTTTACTTTTTTTTGTAATATTATGCTATTAATTTAGGATTTGAGCCTAATTTTGATACTAAATATCTCTTATTGAAATAGTATAGTAATTAATTGACAATTAGCATGCCTTAATTTTGATAATAAATTTTAATTGACAATCTTAATTAAATTATATAGATATAAATAATTAATTTAATAATAATAATAATAATGGTATTAAATGATATTTTCTTGAAATCTTCAAATTGAATCAGGCAAATTATTCTAGATTTGTTACCTTATTAAATAATTGACAAATTAGCATGCCTTAACTTTGGTAATAAATCTTAATTGAGGATATTAATTAGGAAATTTAAATAATATAGATTTAAATAATCAATTTAATAATTATATGGTATTAAAGAATATTTCTTTAAAATCTTGAATTGAATAATACTAATTATTATGGATTTGCTACCTTCTTTATTAAAATTATATAGTAGTATTAATAAAAATAATAATAAAATTAATAAAAACACTTCTTTAAACACCTTTAATGGAATATTTTTTACTCGATTTTTTTTCATATTATTAATGAGTTATAATAATAATTTTAATTTAATAGTAATAAAAATAACAATATACCAGCAATAGTTTTATAATGAGTAAAAACAATTGATTTGATAATTAATTAAAATTTTGTTATTTCAAATTATATTATCTTTACTATTTGTTCGGTAGTGATTCATGTTGAACTTCATTGATATTTTGCAAGCTTCTTTTAGGGCTCAAAATTCAAATCTATGGGTAAACCTCCTGACTTGGATCTAGTTTTTTTCTCCTTAGATTAATTTCCTACTTATTGTTATCATCAGAGAGATGAAGAATTCTAATTTACCTATATTAAATTAAATTAATATAATAATATATAAAATAATAAATAATAATAATTTATTTTGCAAATGAACATTTACCGTTAATATTTAGTATTAATCTAAAGGAAATTTAGTTGTTTTGTTGTCTCCAACCAAAAGAGAATAAATTAATCTGATATTGTCAAAAATAATATGGACAGTTTTTGTGTATGATGAATAAATAAATTTATATTTATATTAGTCTAAATGATAATGATAGTATCCATATATTTTTCAAAGAAAAAATTGAGGACAAGAATATTATATTTTATTGAATCATAAATTTGCTGAAATCAAGTTAAATAAAAGAAAAATAAAATTAATAACAATATAAAAAATGACAATCTCACCATGAAAAAAAAACTAATTAATTAAGTCATATTCAAGAATATGACTACTTACTATGGATAAATCAACATGACAAATATTTTTTTAGCAAATAAATGGAATTCCAGGGAGAAAAGTTGGTGTGCTAGTTTATGTCATCAAATGGTCACATTTCACCACTGCTTGTTGGGACGCCACGATTAGTTTTAGGGGAACCACTTCCCACTGGTCCCAATGGGTAATGTCCTGGCCCCATATCATGACCCCCGAAAAGGTTGAAATAATCACCTTCGGTCATATCTGCATCAACCATAGGGGTGTTTAAAGTTCCGAATGGGGGTAAACCTAAATCAGCAACATCAACACTTGAGGAAACATCTCCAAAAGGATGCCTTGGCGACACATGTTCTGCAGCAGTTGAGGACCCACCACCAAGAGGATATCTTGTTGGCACCTGTTCTGCAGTAGTAGTTGAGGAGCCGCCACCAAAAGGATATCTTGGCGACACTTCTTCTGCAGCAGCACTTGAGGATCCATTACCATAAGGATGCCTTGGCAGCACCTGTTCTGCAGCAGCACTTGAGCTACCACCAATTGAAGGTCCTAACAGCCCCAAGTCAGCATGAGAAACATTTAAGCTTCCAGGTGCAACATATGTGTTATATTGAGTTGTGCCCATGTCACTCCACAGGTTGCTGCTACTAGCTCCAACTATGAACTCATTGGAGTTCATAAGGTTGTGGAACCAATCGTCCCAAGACAAAGGCTCAACAACTTCCCTCTCATTACCCCCAACGCCTGCACTGGAACTGCCAATTTCATAATCTGCAGTTGGAGTAGGTTCTTGAGGTGGTGGTTGTAAAGGAACATCTCCCTCGGAGGGCCCAACTAATGTGTAGGGAACTTGTTTATAATACTCACTTCGTTTTCTTAGGTTTGTTCCTTGTTTCCCCGAACCAAATCAATGCATCTAGTTCATTCAAGTTAAAACCATCCATCATCTTTCCTCGATGCATTTGATGCATAAACTGTCCTACCTCTTCTTCCTTATTCTTTATATTGAGCTTTATAAGCTGATCTTGCACCTTAGAAAGCATTTCTTTCACGTGTGTCTCCATGTTTATCGTTTTTTTCGTGCGTTCCAGCTCTGGAACAAGATGAAACTTTTCAATAAGTTGTTTCACCTCATCGGGTGAAGGCCACGCCATTGGCTCCTGTTCCCCCGGGTTGTACATGAGAAGACAAGCATCTATGCCACATAGAGTGGTCAGCTCCTTGACCTTTTTGACCAACCCTAGCCTTCGTTTCTTGAGGCTAGCTCGACGGATAGTGTTGTTGGTAATCCAAGCGAGCTTAACCTTGTTTCTTGTCATTTCTATTTGTAGACTTAAATATTTTATTTGATTGGAAAGCAATTAGCAAAACTGTTTTTAGTAAAGGGTGAAAAAGAGATTAAGGTTGAATGAAAACAATTTTCAATGACCCTTTTATATAGTGAGTAAGGTGACATAAACCTTTGATGACTAGAATAATGCATATCCCTTTTAGGTAAATAAAAAATAAATGATGGTTGTTTGGATAATCCAATTTACTCATTATGGCAAGTAATTCATTACTATTATAGTAATAAATCTATACTAGATTTAACACAATTGTTTGTTCTTTTTTAATTCACTACTATTATAGTAATAAATCTGTTCTAAATTTAACACAATTGTGTGTTTTTATTTAACAAATATTTTAATTTAATGAATTTGGATTAAACGAAAGTATTTTTGGAAAAAAAAACTATTTTTTATTATTTTATCAGTTTTTATTATGTTCTATTTTTAAATAAATGTCTTTTAAACATCATCGATATGTAAAAGAAAAGTTATTAAAGAACTTGTAAATAAACGCTCTTTAAGCATAGTTAGTGAGATGAAAAATTCTAATTCACATATATAAAATGAAATTAATATAAAATATTATTTTTAAATCTTTTCTAAGAAAACTGCTAGACTTAATATTTAATATTAATATTTTCTCTCAACATCATTTTTCAAAATGAAACTTAGCCGTTTAGTTGCAAATTATCCTAGTGTTGTCAAAATTAGTATGGAGAACTTCTTGTTTACTAAGATGTATAAATAAAATGATATTCTTTTAAGAGTTAATTGCATCCTATGTCCTTAAACTATAACTCTCATTTTAAATTGGTTGTTAAACTTTTGAATATTCTAATTTCATCATCGAACTATGACTCTCAATTTAAATCATTAATTAAACTTTTGAACATTTTAATTTCATCCCTAAACTATAACAATCTTTCTAAACTAGTCCTTAAACTTTTAAATATTCCAATTTTATCCCCAAATTCATCCAAACATGTAATAAGTTTCGACCATATTTTAACCTAGATTTTGTTTTTTCAAACATATAATAATATAACTTGGCCTAACGATTTTATTAACAAGGGATGTGATTAGTATATGCATATGCTTGGGATGAAATTGGATTGTTCAAAAAGTTTGGGGACTAATTTAGAATGAATGTCATAGTTTAGGGATGAAAATGAAATCCTCAAAAGTTTGAGGATTAATTTAGAATGATAGTCATAATTTGGGGATCAAAATGGAACATTTAAAAATTTAAGGACCGATTTAAAACTCAGAGTCACACGTTGAGGACATGTGATGCAATTATGATGTGATCCAATTCAGCATCAAAAATGGACTTGCATCTCTAACCTTTCTCAATAATCTAAGGGGGATTTTCTTTAACTTAATCTTTCTTTATACCATAGTTATGATAATAGCTTACGTACATTATATTTATAGTTATGATGATGATATTATGAATTTATGAAGTTATTATTATGAACCACATATTTACATAATTATATCTTTAAATACTTAGCTTATATTATGCTTTCTTTTGTAGGTACATGTTCGGCCACATGATGGGAGCTGACTTAAAGCTAGAATTGGAGTCATTAAGCTAAAGAAACTTGACTAGGACAACTCCGGGACAGCTCAAGAACATTTTGAGATAAAGTTTCCAACTGACCTCTGAGCTCATAGCTGACTTGAGCTAGACTTTTGAGCTAGCTAGAGACATCATTTCAACTAGAGAGTTGCACCATCATCTTCACCACACAGAGCACTACATATATGGTTTAGGTCGAATTTTGTGAATTCGTACCTTTTCGCGAAGAGTTTTCCAATCCGAGAAGTGCCCTTTCACAAGGAGCTGTCCTAAGACTCATCTTCATGTATTTCATCTATGGCCAGGTCATCTTCAGCTCAAACACATGGGAAATAGCTCAAATGATGAAAGGATGCTTCACACAAATGTGCCCTTTCATAATTAGTTGATGCCCCATTGATGCCATGTCACCAAGATACAAGATGGAAGCCAAGTCACACCTAGTTGCTGCTCAACTTCACGCCAAGGAGAAGCCACACCATAAGCACCCTATGTCGCCCATGTGAGTGTTTCATGACCAGCCCACACATGTCTATGCATGTGGATAAAATGGGTGCCAAAATGAAGAGGGTTCTCTCCATTCGGTCAAACCATCATCTTGCTTCAAGTTGGCGTCAAGATGAAGAGACAAGGGAACCATTCGGCCAAAGATATCTCCCTTCATCCAAGCATCATCTATTTTCGTTTTAAGACATGTATCTAGCCGAATAGACTCCTAATTATTCGGCCAAACCTATGCAAGCCTATAAATAGGCTTTGGCATTTCATTTGTAACTCAACCCTTTGATAATTAAAAACTCTTTGTGAGATCTTTCTCTCTTCAAGTTCTTTTTAGAACTATATCGATTAAGCAAGCTTTCATAGTTTTTGGCGTCAAACCCCTTTCATTAATACTTTTGGTTCCTAGTTTATATAACTAGTGGGTCAAAGTCCTTTCATACCATCCCTTATAAGACTTATAAGAAACATGTCTTTGCTCCTTTATAGCATTGGTTCCTTCTTAGTTTTATAAGATACTACCTAAACATCACCATCTTCCATCACCATTTTCACGCCTATAACATCACCATCTTCTATCACAATTTCACGCCTATATAACCACCAATCCCTTACAATCTATTCATCATTCAATCATACTTCAATGATCATCAATGCATTCGTCCATCAACATTATTTGGAGGCCGAATTCATCAATTCTTGAAGGATTCTTCTATAATACTTCCGCAGCCATCTTTGATAACATTTCTTTCTATTTCAATTCTTTCCATTTTATTTCCTTTCTTAATTATCCATTTATTTAACAACTTATTATTCTTTGTGCAGATTACTTCCAATTCAATGAGTAGCATTGGTGTCTCTCCTAGATCGGGAAATAATAAGGTTGACAACTTCTCCATTATTGAAGAAGCCTGGTTAGCCTTACATCAAGCGGTAACAGAACTTTGGTGGATTGACAATCAAGTGATGCAACAAAAGCAACAAAAAGAAAAAGAAAAAAGAAAAAGAAAAAGAGAAAGAAAAGACTCTTACAACAAATTTGGAGTGCAAAAGAAAGAAAAAGAAAAACAGAAATTCAAAGAAAGAAGCAAGTTGCAAATTACACTCAAGAGAAGCACAATACAATCTGCCCCAACAACAAACTAGAAGGAGGTATCCTTATTGTTTCTTGTAAAGGAAGATAGTAAGTGTTGCAACTTGAGTTGTAAGTTATCTTTAATTTCTTACTATTTCATTTCTTTATTCTTTCATCTTTTCTTACTTCATTACCATATCTTTTTCTTAACCTTTTCTATACTACCCTTGTCATAACCATTTTTATTCCTAACCATTCTAAACCGACGCACAATCTAAAGAGACTTGCTCAATCTTGAGTTAGTTCTTAAAAAGGACCCACAAGAGAGAATCGAGCTGAAAAAGGCATAAGAGAGGGTAAGATCATAAGGAGGATCCAAAAAAGCCAAGACATATATCCCCTAGTGCAAACAAGAGTGTGAGTGGAGTGCAATCTGAAATTTTCTTTGGAGTGATCAAGTGAGGTTTTGTGAGTGTGCTGGTAAGGTTTTTAATTTATTTTACTAACCATGTGTCAAAGCCCCAGAGAAAATACAGAACACCAAACTTACAAATATAGGCACTCATTAGCGAAATGATGAGAATGTTTCGTGAAGAGTTTGACGTTCTTCATGAAAAGATAGATCAACGCCAGGATCTACCACCAGGACGTAATAATGAAGCCCATAGAAGACAACAACAACCACCACCTCCAGAAGAAGATGTTCAAGAAAATTTAGACGATGGAGAACAAGCAACATTCCAAGGCCTTAGGCGTGCCATTGTTGATGACAACTTGAGCAATATTAAGATCAAATTCCTCAATTCCAAGGAAAGCCTGATCCTGAAGCCTACCTTGAATGGGAAAGAAAAGTGGAACACGTTTTTAGTTGCCACAACTATTCCAAAATGAAAAAAGTAAGATTGGCAGCCATGGAGTTCATAGACTATGCTTTAATATGGTGGGATCAACTTACCCTTAATCGAAGAAGGAATGGAGAAAGACCAGTCTCAACTTGGCTTGAAATGAAAGGTATTATGCGAAAACGATTCATTCCTGTTCACTATCACCGTGACTTGTTTCAAAAGTTATAGAATCTTAAACAAGGCCATAGGAGTGTGGAGGACTATTACAAAGAGATGGAAGTGGCAATGATCCGAGTCAACATTGAGGAGGATCGTGAAGCAACTATGGCGAGATTCTTGTCGGACTTAATCTCGAAATTGCCAATTCCTTGGAATTGTATCATTACATCGAAATGGATAAGATGGTGCAAATGGCAATGAAAATTGAAAGGCAACTAAAGAGGAGACATACATCTCGCAATATTGTACCCACATCATCCAAATGGAGTCCAAACAACATCAAGAAGCCTACTCCTCCTCCTGACAAAGAACAAGTCGAATTTTCAAAGAATCAGCAAGTAAACAAAGACTTCAACCGAGGAAAGCAAACTACTGAACGTTCAAGAGATATTAGATGCTTTAAATGTCTTGGGAGGGGCCACGTATCTACACAATGCCCTAACCGGAACACCATGCTTTTACTTTGAAATGGTGAAATAGAATCTGAATCAGAGTAAGAACAAGAGGCACCTATTGAAGTCAATGAAGAAATCACTCTTGCAGATCCCATTGATCAAGGAGAAGCTTTGGTAATTAAAAGAAGTTTGAATGTTCAAGTCTCGGAAGATAATGCACATCGAGAAAACATTTTTCATACCCGATGCCATGTGAATAAAAAGGTATGTTTTGTTATTATAGATGGTGGAAGTTGTACTAACGTGGCCAGTACAATAATGGTGGAAAAGCTTGGTTTGAAAACAATGAAGCACCCGAAGCCATATAAGTTGCA